AAGAAATAACGTGAAAAAGAGAGTTTCACGGGAAAACGCGGAAACTTATGCTAAAAATGCTCGTCGTTACGACCTAAAGATTAACTCTCTCTCACTCTGTCCTTCTTCTGTTCTGTTCGCTCCTGCTTGGCAGGGTAGCCGAGAAACGGAACTTAATTTAAAAAAATAAAAATAAAAATTATAACAAAAAATGGAGGTAATCGGAAAAGAAAGTGTTAGACTCAATTGAGAATACGCATACGTGATTCTAAGCTACATACATATGTACATCCGCTCGATCGCGTGCGACGTATCCCCCTGTAACTTTCCGTGCATGGATGTACGTGTGTGTGAGTGAGTGTCTGTGTTGCCTGTGTGCGCGTGGTGGTATGTATGTTCCTGATCATCACATACGTAAACGACACATAACATTTTTTCTTTTTTTTTCTTTAGTTTTGAATAACTCCCCCCCCCTCCCCATTTCACCCGCAGCGTCTTCGTTTTTTTTTTCTTTTTGAACTCTCGCCGTATTCCCCCTCTTTATGACTAATTCACGTCGTCTAAATGTTTCGAAGCCGATCGCTCGGTCCAAATGATCCGTGCGCCCGAAATAGGATCGGTAACACCCCTCGATCTGATCAACGGGTTCCGTTCTTTTCTCATTTTCAACGTCCTGCATCCATCCTTTTGCTCTATCCGTTCGCCAGCCATTTCACAATTTTACACCATCGACTTCTCACCCCCCCCTCCCTCCCTCTCGCCAAGTGTTCGTCTCTTCGTCAGTCGAAATAATCGTGGAACTCGAGTCTCTGAAGATTCGATCGATTACGCGGGATCCTCACGTTCGTTATTGTTCGCCATTCTTGTGGTCTCTTTCCGTTACTCGACACACGTCCGCCATTTTGTCGCAGAGCCTCTTTTGCTACTAGACACGTCCGCCATGTTGTTGTCGGCTAGCCGGAGAACGAAAACGAACTACAGACTGCTCTCGATTATCGTCCCGAACTCGGGTCCGCACCGAGACAATAATCGTATAGGGAGAAATGCTTCAGATCCTCGTAAATTCGTTTTTTTTGCCGAAAGCCTGAGCCTCGGCAACAAAGGCGGAGGGGCAATAAAGTATGTGCTTGACAGGTTCCACGGCCTCTCCTCCCCAGCGGTGGGGATAACGCCTGGACAATAATCGTGTAGAACAAGCCAGACGATAATCGAGAGGAGTCTGTACAGGATCTCGCTGTAATCTTGTCTGTTTTCCTTTTTTTTCCCTCAGTTTCTTTCCCATCGTGGACACGGTTTCTGTTCATTCGCATTGCTCTCGATTCACAACCCCCTCCCCCCTGCTCGAAAATCGCTGTCGCTTTAGGAATCGAACGCCAAATATCTCGCTGTTGAACGATAAAATCACATGTGATCGTTACATTTCTTGTTTCTATTTTTCTTCCTCTCTTCTTTCTCGTTTCGTTCTTTTTTTTCTGCTTTTTACCGAGTAAAACACGCTCGTGGTTTCGAAATCACGCAGTTCCCGCGCGCACGCACGCATCTCATTCTCGCCAGGCACAGATCGCACACGCATCCATCTTCACGGTATGTATGTATGTATCTCACTGTTTCTAATCGTCGGTTTACATATTACAGTTGTACGTGTGCAATAATGCGGCTTTGTAAAAAAACGGATCTATTATATGTATATATATATATATATATGTATGTATATGTATATAATATAATATGTAAGAAGTTTATATATCACGTATGCCGACGATCCCGAGGGTTTTCTCCCTGTAGAGAAATTCCTTGAATAATGTATATATCTGTATATAAAAATGAACATTGAGCTTCTGAGAACGTTTGTGCAAACGGTAGCTGGCTTAAAATCACACGACTGCGTTCACGTTCGTGTTCTCTTTTGATTATGTATCGGTGGACAACGATGAATTTCCCGGTGACCTTGAGCTATCAGTCGATTCTGTTCCAACTCTGTAGGGAACAGAAGTTAATTAAAAAAAAAACCGTATGCTTTACGTGTAATTTCAGAAGAAACAGTATGAACGTATAGAACTGCTCTTCGAGAGTGTCTGTGCATCTATAGTTCGATCGAAATCAACCGGCCAGTCGATCTGCCGCCCACTTTTCCCCCTAGTGCAGGTTGTTCCGCTTGACGTTATCGTCCGAAACATATCTCGCACGCTTATAATTCTATTGTTACCGTTGTACTGTACAGTGAAAATTTTCTAGCAAGAAACGCGAAGGTCGTGTTTTCGATTGTACAACAATATTATGAAACCACCGATGATAAAGTTCTAGCCGGACATCCTGCATTTGACTACAAAGAGAAAAAAAGGAGATGGAAATAGGGCAGTGGTCGAGATCGAACTGGCGGGAAATGGGGAGAAATTCTTCTGTTTCCTAGAGACGTTCGGATAAATCGTGGAAATTCGAGGAATCCGCGAGACGTCAACCCCACGGGATCGTCGTTCGTACCCTCTCCCGCCAAAGGGTATAACAGCAGAAGTATATGTATAGTCCCGACGCTCACCGGACAAGTATAGTATCGGCTGTACGGAATGTACAGTGTATATTATTTATTATCGTGATCGCTCAGTGTTCCCTGTGGTTTGTTAATGCTTTGTATATCTATAAAACGATGAGGTAGTACTGTCATTACGTATCATCATTTGGCAGAGCACGCGGACGACCGATTCGTCCGCGATTTTTCGCGTGTTTAAGACGACAAATAAAAATAAAAGAAAACGAACGAAGGAACAAAAAGAAAACATAGAGATAGATAGATAGAGAGTGAGAGAGAAAATCAAGGAAACGAGGGAATAAAAAAAGAAAACGGAACGGACTGTGTATATTGTATATAACGTTTCTCTCTGTGAATATATACATTCCCTAGCTCGCGCGCGCGCACGTATATGATCGTTTAAATACTAAATAATTCTCTATTCGTCTATTGTCTTTGATTACCGTTCGCGGTAGGCTCATCGTTGTGAGATAACTCTTGTTAAACTTCTTCTGTAACGTAACAAGTAAAAAAAAAAAAAAAAAAAAAAAAAAACAAAAGAAAAAGAACTAACGGGGGGTGGGGGGCCATGGGAGAAAAAGCGAGAAGAAAACAGCGGAAAAGGTAAAAAGAACAAAAATATATATATATAATATATAAAGAACGGGGGAACGAAAGGGGGGCGGGGGCAAGAAACGATAAATAAAATCGTCGATAAACGTGTCAATACTGCAACAAGTAATATCGTGGTGCCATCCTGACTAGGAGTATCTATATAATCTATCTATATAGGTAAATGTAATATAACTATTGCATTGAGCACAATCCTATACAACCGGGCTAGCAATTAATCTATGTTTCGTTCCTGGTCTATTGGTTATCAGTCCCCATTCGAATTCTCGATCCGTGACTATTGCTTCGGACAAAAGTCCGTATTTAAACATTGTAAACAGGTAACAAAGTGGTAATGATTGTTCGCGTGAACGTCGTCGTCGACGCGATCGTTCCCGGCGAGAACGCGACGATGATATCGTGACGTGTGTACACACGCTAAAAAAAAAAATGAAAAAAAAAACACAATCAGGAGGTGGCGAAAAGAAAACGTGGAACCCGTTTCGAACACGATTTTCTTTTTTTTTTCTGTCACCCAGAAGACACCTGTTCACACGGATCCATCGAACAGGCGACTCATGATGGTTCAATGGGTGTTCCGTACACGTGTTTTAATGAGAAACTAAAAGAACATTCAGATTCCAAAAAAAAACGAACGATCCTCCTCGATCGTTTCAAACTAGGGGGTGGGTGTGGAACCGCGTTCGCCGGGAATGATACACACGCACGACACGTGGCCTACACGTGGTAACTTGTCCGTCCTAGAATCGTAGTTAATAATCTCATAAATCCCTTTTATAAAACGGTCACACGTCTATAAAAAAAAAAAAAGAAAAGAAAATCGAAGAGACGAGAAACAAGCTGAATTACGCGTTGTCGGTTGTTGCGTGTATCCGCATTTTCCTTTCTCTGGGATATGTTTCACGCGCGCGTCTCGTCCCCGTCACTACTGATTGGGAAACGGAACGTGAACGAACATCGACGTGAACCACTGATCAAGAGATCGGTTTCGTCGATTTTCGATGGATGTCTACGCGTTTACCCGTAAACAAAAAAAAAAAACGAGAAAAAAAATTCGCGGAATTCGGCTCGAAAATATATATGTATAGTATTATATGTATGTATATATTCACCGGTGTTCACGACCCTAGGCTCTCGACATCAACAGCAATAATATAGGTATCGGTTTGTTAATCCTCTGTAAGTTCTATAAAATCAGCAGTAACAGCGTTTCCCTCTTTCTTCTTTTCTTCCTTCTTGCGGCGAATATGCGGTATCATAATGCAGTTAATAATCCTTAATCATCAATGGTAACGTTCGAACTATCGATAAATAGAGTAAGGTAGCGGCAGTAGACACAATTCTATTACATCTATATTGTTTCTTTGTTTTCGCAACAGCGCTTGCACCAAGTGTTTGGTCGGTATATAATATACTATATTATATTGTCGATATATAATATACTATATATATATATATATATATCTCATCTGTCGACCATCTTCATACGAAGAAGGACGGTTAAAAAATAAAGACGGAAAACAGATTCTTCTATTTCTTTAAAAAATCTTCCGTTTCCTACGGTTATACGATTCACCTGAGACGCAGGTTTCTCTTCTTCGTATGACCCCCCCCCCCGCCTTTGCCCCGTCTGTTTTCACACGGCGGACGAATCCTTGTGGACAATATTCCCCCCTTGATCCGCGCTATTTTAATCGGGTTTTACTTGCAGCTGTCCGCTATTCCTCTACTCTCTATTTCATTTCTTCGTAGCGCTCGATTAAACGTTTATTAGTTAATAATTCCTTACTTGACGTTGCACTTTCATTGACTAGTTTTGTGATTTGCAGCGTATCCGCGAGCGTACCCCGAGCAACAACCCACGGACATCGACGTTTCTCCCCCCGAGCTTCTTCCTCCGTCTACCGATCTGATCATCAGTCATCGTCTTCTCTTCCATATTTCACCGTGTGTTTCCATCTATCCGTGATCCGATCACCGGGACAAATTTTCCTATTTCCGCGAGTCAACGCCTATGCTGGCCTCGACCACGGCCATCTCCCTCTCCCGCGACAAAACATTTCGATAAAGCGTGTGTCTATATCAATCGCTTCTATAAAAACAAAAGAACAGGTTCGACGAATCCCGGACTCTAAAATCGCGGAATGAGAACCATGTCCCGAGAAGTGATCCTCCAAAACCAGTCTCCTTCGATTCCTGAGATGTCCCAACCGACATGGCTCCAATGTCCCAATTCAATCGTCTGCGTTTCCATCGACAGGGACATCGGCGCGGGTCGGATCAAGAGACGCTCGTAATTGACACTACTATTACGAACGGATCTGGTCGCGTTGACCCAGCGGGAGGGGATGGTCGCCTAGGATCGCCCTTTGTAGCCCACTTGTCCGAGCCAGGGATATCATCCTCTTCGGGCTGCGATCCAGGCTATCAGTGCTGTCAATTGCAACGTGGACTCGTGTCACAGGGACTTCAGAGAGCCACTATCAGACTGGACACAAAATAAGGACCGGGGCGTTGACCAACGGACGAAGGGAAAAGGTGTTGACACCTTTAGCTCGTCTTGCTCGCGCTTCTTTCCATCTTCGTGGATCGTTCTTCCTGTGGCGTGTCACGTGCTCGCGAACCGGGTGTTTACACAGTTTATAACATATGAATATATATGTATAACTGTGCCCCCCCAGCCCCTCCCTGGCGCTCACGACAGCGACGACCATAAAGACAACGACGACGGCTAAGACGACGAAGACGTCCCTTACTGCGGCACCGTGTCCGACACCGAGTGATTCGACTGCTGAAAGGCCTTCAGACTCAGCTCGGTTTTGTGCTCCCGCGCGATGTGCCGTCTGACCGTGTTGTTCCGTGTGAACGTCCGCGAACAGAACGGACACGGCACCCTGATCCCCTGGTGACGTTGCCTGATGTGAGCCCGCAGGTTCGTCTCGTATCCGTACAGTCGTTCGCAGAACGGACACTTCAGTTTCTTGCCTGAAATCAGAGAACGGACTGTTGTTAAAAAATTGCCAGCGGTTCCGGTGACCGCATCAGTATTATACAGGGCGAAACAAAAGTGTCGAAGGTCCCTGAAATGGGTCACTCGTGCGGTGATTTGAAACAAGGTTTTCCCAAAATCATCCCACGAATTCCTTATTTCCAGGAGTCGAAGCTATTTGTGGCGCCCGTCAAGACCTTCAATTTGTACAGTAAATCAACGAGTGCTATACATTTTATGGAAATATTGTTAAAATTTAAACAATAAAATTGTTGTTGTATTCTTTAAATATGTAGCAACAAGGATCAAACTGGTTTTTCACCGTATGTTGTTCCATTGTCTTTTTATAAATTCATGAAAATCACATACTTTTTGGGCGTTTTGACCGGAGGGTACCGGGGTGGGGGGGGGGAGGGTACGCCGCGTGACGAATCAGCACGCGTGTGCATGTTTACCACGCAACGCCGGCGGTTTTACGCGCCGCGGAACCCACCGGCGTCGACTTTTCAGCGTGCGGGTCGCCGCTAAAAATAAAGGCCCGGCTCTGATCCTAGAAAAAGTAAACGGGGGCCGCCGCGGGGCTCGATTTCGTGCAGCTGACTAAGAAATTCACAAAGGATCACCTCGGTGGCGAAACAAAGGCGAATTCGTGAAGACGTTCTACGTGGAACCAAGAGGAAGGGGAGGGAAGGGAGAGGAAGGGGGTTGGCCCTTGGGAGGAAATGTGCGAGCCGAAGACAGAAGCTGACAGAGGAGGGAATGCGCCGTTAGACGACTCGTCGAAAGGGGGGACACACACGTAGAAGAATCGAAAACGGATGAGGGACGAACGAAGACGGAGGATCTAGGAGGACAGAGGAGCAATGAAAAGAGGACGGAAACGAGGCAGAAACGGATGATCGGAGGAGGAACGGGCAGAGGCAGGTACGAATGGAGGCCACGGGGTATGTACGGACCCTGGGACATGCAGAGAAACAAGGAAAACGTCGTTTAAGTGTGTCGAAACTGTGAAAAGAATGCTGTTTGAATGCTGTTGCAACTGGTAGATGTATGCATGTGTATGATGTAATTAAGAGAAATGGTGCCCTTTGGACCAGAAAGTTGATGTCTGTCTACGTTATATCTAGAAAATCATATTTCCTAGTGTTTTGTCGTGCAATTACACCTAGTGTTTAAGCGTCAAAGGATTAATAATAAATATTAAAAAATTAAAAAAGCAGGTTGGTTTAATAGAAGAAGGTTTTAGAAGAATTCTGAGTATAAACGTAGAAAATCCAAATAATTCATCGTCTTTACGACGTGTTTAGGTTAATGTTTTTTAAATTCAATATTTTCTATTTTCGTCGGGTATAGTGAAGAAAAGTGTCAGAATCTCGAAATTACATGATTTTATCATTTATTAACTTAAGAATCTGTGTTTTCGGCCCAAACGCATCCGCAGTAGTAACGGAACACAAGCAAGACGCGAAGTAGTATGAGACAAGAGGGGTTATTTCTGGGCGGTCTGGAAGACAGATAATTCACCGGCGAGTATACGCAGAGATAATCAGGATACGTGGAAGTGTTGTTATAGCAACAACAAAAAAAAAAGAACTTGTGGTATGCATTCGACGCGCAGTATTTATATTACGTGATGCTGCGCCGCGATTCATTTCGATCTTCTTCGATGCACTCGGCCATTATTTATTCGTTTTTATAAACACTCCCAATCTTATTCATTAATTCATTTAGACAAAATTACCTGCGTATTATACTTTGGTCTGATTAAAAACACATGAAAAATTTAAAAGTAAGAAGAGTACACTCGAATAATTCCTTTAAAAATGATGTTTTACCCTGTGGTATTTTTTTGTAGTTTCTTAAACCGTGCAACTTCTGTAAGTAAGATTTTCTCGTATTGTTTGAAATAACCAAGACATTTAAGCGGACAGAGTTCGTGAGACGCGCTGTATATACTCGACTTGAAAACCAAACGATTCTCGAGCAGCAAAGGGACGATCGAAGCCCCAGGCTTCATCAACACGACCGACTCAGGGGGACACGGAGCGCAGAATCGCCGTCGATTCCTCGAAAAAACACACGAAGAATAGGACCCTGAAACCCTGTGGGTAAATCGATGGAAAATACAAGATTCCCGTGGCTGGCCTTCGATTCCCAGTGCGTGTTTTGGTCGAGGAGCCAGCGAGGCGAAGGAAATCCCGCAACGGACCACGCGCGCTCCCACGGCCCCACTCGATACGGGAGAAAATGTGAAATGGTTACACATGGTTACATATGGTTAGGTTCGATCTATTCGTCCTGAAAGGCAACTTTAACCTGATCATTCGCAATCATTCGAATAACCAGTCGTGAATCCGTCTCATTTTAAGGGACACGAATAACCCCGTGAACAGGAAGCTTCCAGTCCATTCGAGACATGGAAACGAGAACGGAGAACACGGATGCGGAAGAGAGGAACGAGGAAAATCAATGTCAAAGGAGCCACTACGCGCGGTCTGCAACTGGAGAAAACCGGGGTTGAGCTTGGACTACCCCTCCTCTCTTCCTTAGAAACCCCGGTCGATCCCGTTCGCTGCAAGAAATGCCAACCCTCCCCTGAACCCCTGTCGAAAGAGACCAGAGAGTAAAACCATAACCTGCACAACGGTCCACTTTCGAGACTCCCATTCGATTGCCGAACACATACGCCTAGAGATGAACCGATCCAAGTAAATACAAGTACATAATCGATACTTCTGTTTCGATACCGAGTATTTTCGAAGC